TTTTTTAGTACAATGACTGTGTACTCCTTCCACATTCCTTTGATGCTTCCTGCCTCATTAAATATCTTGCTTATAGAATACTTCAATATTGCAACTTGAGTCTTGATTTTTTTCTTCTTCATTTCTTTCAGCTTGAGAAATGCCAATATTTGTCTCTTTTTGTTTTCTACCTCCAGGTTTTTGTACATTTCTTGAAAATATTTCACTTTGTCTTCCTGGCTTATCCTTTGAATGATTCAGTTCCACTCTTATGCCATTATATGTTCCGTTAATTTTAGCTGTTATATGTTAAAAATCTATTGTTCAAATGCAAACTTTCAGGGTAAAAGGAAACAGATTTCACATTGTTGTATTTCTTTTGAAGTTCCTTCTCAATAGCCCTACCTTACATCCACTAGCTCTATGAGAGTTGGACTATGTGCCTATAATATCTACAGAATAGACCTATCATTTGTATGTTGTTGTTGTTAAGTGCAGTCGAGTCGCGGGCGACTCATAGTGACCCTATGAACGAAAGCCATGGACACCTCCTGTATAACTTTTGTCCTTTCTCCAGGTTCATGGGGTTTCCAGAGGCAAGCTATGGTGGAAGTGGATAGGATTATAATAAATCAATTTATGGTAAAAATCTGTAAGAATAATGCATATGTAATTAGGGGTATCTAAGTGACCTTAAGTCTGTCCCACTTAAATTTCAAAACCATCTCAGGAACAGGTTTGAGGCCATGAGCACCAATGAGCATAGACCAAATGAGGTCTGGAAGGATATCAAGAAAATCATCCATGAAAGATGCAAAAGATCATTACAAAGGCTAAAGAAGAAGAAAAGACCAAGATGGATGTCACAGACTCTTAGTATTGCATTAGAGTGCCGAGAAGCCACAGCTAAAGGAAGAAATAAACCAAAGAGCTGAACATAAAATTTCAAAAGGCAGCTTGGGACAACAAAGCAAGATACTGTAATGAAATGTGCAGAGAGCTGGAGTCAGAAAATCAACAGGGCCAAACTCGCTCAGGGTTTCTTAAGCTGAAGGAGCTGAAAAACAAATTCATGCCATGGGTGGCAATACTTAAAGATAGTTTGAGTAGAATGTTAAGTGATCCAGGAAGTATCAGAAGAAGATGGAAGGAGTACACAGAGTCACTGTATCAGAAGGAATTGGCTGACACAGAGGAATTTCATTAAATAACATGATCAAGAATCTATGGTGATGAAGGAGGAAGTTCAAGTTGCTCTGAGGAATTGGCAAAAACAAGCCTCCAGGAGTTGACAGCATATCAATTGATTTATTTCAACAAACAGATGCTGACCTGGATGTGCTCACTAAGTTGTGCCAGGAAATCTGGAGGACATCCAACTGGCCAACTGACTGGAAGAGATCAATATTTGTTTCCATTCCAAAGAAAGGTGACCCAACATAATGTGAAAATTATTGAGCAATATCATTGATATCACATGCAAGCAAGATTCTGCTTAAAATTATCCAAAAACGTTTGAAACAGTATGTCAACAGAGAACTGCCAGATGTGCAGGCTGGATTTAGAAGAGGTCGTGGTACTAGGGATATTATAGCTAAAGTTAGATGGATCTTGGCAGAAAGCAGAGAATACCAGAAGAATGTCTATCACTGCTTCATTGACTATGTAAAGGCTTTTAACTGTGTGGATCACAGCAAGCTGTGGCTGACTCTGAGAAGAATGGGAATCCCAGAACATTTGACCGTGCTAATGCGAAACCTATACTTGGACAAAGAGGCAGTTGTCAGAACAGAGCAGGGAGACACTGGATGGTTCAAAATCAAGAAAGTGGTCCATCAGGGATGTATTTTGTCTCCATACCTTTTCAATCTGTATGCAGAACAGATCATCCAAGAATATGGCATCAGGATTGGTGGAAGGATCATCAACAACCTGTGTTATGTGGATTACACAACCCTGCTTGCTGAAACTGAGGAAGACCTGAAGCACTTGCTACAGAAGGTCAAGGACTGCAGCCTCTTATATGGACTGAAGCTCAACATCAAGAAAACAAAGATTCTCACCACGGGACCAACTGGCAGCATCAGTATGGATGGTGAAGAGATTGAGATAGTTAACAGTTTTA